ACCTGAACAAAGAAATGGAGACAAGTATGTTACTGATCTAATCTTTATTTATACATGACTGCTCATTATTGCACATTTAGAAAGATACAGGCATGTACGTGTATTTGTACATCTACATGCATGTATATTAAAGCACAAACTACATGTAGCAATATATAATAAGAAGGATGTTGTATTTGTATGATATACAAATGACCAGACATGTCACAATAAGTATTCTCTCAGACACTGTTGCTATGATTGCCCTCATCAGCTGCTGATATTACTACTCTATACTGATCTATGCTACTGGTGTCATTATAATCCAATGTTGCTCCACCCACCACTCATAGACTCACATGCAGGCTCCTTATGTTATATTGCGTGTATTGATGGATTCTGATACTCCTGTATTTAATATTGAGAGTGTTACTGGCTCTGATGGTAAGCCTGACCTCTTGATCAGGTTTGATAGGAATAAACTGGAGACCATTGCTAAACCTGTCATTGGAGAATTCTTGAATAAACTGCAGGTATGTAGTTTAGGCACTTAGTGCATGATCATTCCTTTAATTCCCTGTTTATTGTTTGTACCATTAATTCTACCATTGTTTACATAATAATGCTATACTGGAGGGTTCATTCAACCATGAGCAACTAGCTTATATCTCTACATGCATACCCAATACATAGGTAGAGCCAAAGTTGGTTTCTGTTTTGTTGTATTCCCATTCGTAATTGGGACATGTTCATTGTTCATCACTCAATGCTGTTATGATAGAGATGTTCCTTTTTCTAGATCTATAAGTCTGACAGCAGACGTTAGCTCAGGACAGTTATTGTATAATAAATATTCAACTGTTACTGATGATCATTTGATGTTGAGAGATATTGTAATGGCTAGGAAGATGCCTAGAAGATTTGTACAGCCACACACTTCAATTGATACTGGTAAGTAGGGGATGGGTGGATGAGGGATGTCCTTAGTCTTACCTTGTAAAAATAAGGTACATCATTAATTAACCTGCCTGACTAATGGATTGGTTATTTGCATAGGCTATGCCATGAATATTGTTACATAGGTTGTATTATAGTGAAATGTATCATGCATTCTTTTTCTCTTCTGCCACTCTGCTTCACTGATATCTATATTGTTTTTTTTCATTAGATGGTTCTGTTGTTCTTAATGAATTTGATAGTTCATTTGAAGGAATCATTTCCTCATTTCTAGCAAGATATCCTAACTATGATACTGAACTGGAGTCTCTTTGGAGAAATGATCAGCATTATTGGAAACAAAAATAGACACAATACATTTGATACAAATTAAAGGATTAGAATTTACTTGTGTATGCATATTGAGTGTTAATTGTCACATTGTTGCATGTGCATGTATATATTTGTGCAGTGAAAGTAATGCAACAGTTGGTGGCCCGGCTTCCAGTCAGTGATCAAGCAGCTAGACAACACAGTTTTTGGGTACTTTGCTGTGCTGAGAATGAGATCCAACCTATACGTGAAATAGACTCCCGTAAAATAAAAGTGCTAAGTGCTGTTTTCCCCATGCATTGCAATCTTCGAAGAAGTGTACATGACCATAGATATTATAACATTACAACTCATTGTTCACTTTGCACTAACCATTTCACATTTTCTATAACAGTAGCTGGTCTCTTGTTCAGATTGCACTAAGAACTGACAGTGAACATCTGGTGGCGGGTCCCTCTTGTACCAGAGAATACCACCAGCAACAATAACGGCGGGTGAGGTTGCTGCTCTTCCAGCGGTTACTTGCATTGGAGCTCGAGGAGGAGCTGCCACTTGCTCCGCTAAAGCTCTTATTCTTCTCAGCAACATTATAAGTAGGCACCACTGATGCATACTCTTGCTAGTCTCGCGCAGCTGTAGTCCAGGGAATGGTCTGCTACCCCAATAGATAAAGTGTATTCAGTGCTTGGATCGCTTCAGTCGCCTCTTATATAATACTAAACGAGTGAAAGGGAAAAATCCCTCATACCATATATGGTAGCCCTATTATGTGTCATTTGAATGGTGTTGTGACAATAAGTGAATGACATTGTGTCACAGGATAGGGTTTTTATTCTTCCTTTCTCTCTTTTTCACCCTCTTTACAATCTGCTGTAGCTTTTATTTGTATTTCAAATTTGAATTCAAATAACTTGTCCAGGTGCAGGCATGCATGCATAGCATATGGTATGTATCTTGAGTTGCATTAGAATATCATAATACGGCATGGCATTATACATGTATAGTATCATTGGTTGGATTCCATTATTTGTTTTGATAGTAACATTATACCCTAATTCAACTGGAGGTGCTGGACCATTTTCGCCTGCTAGGTCACTAGCACTTATGGTAACACATGTATGATGGTGTATGACGTCACTACAAAATATTTAGCAGCAATGAATATTTTGTAAATCAAAGACACACCAGCTAGCATGCATTAGTAATAAGTTAAGATGGTGGTTGTACAAGTTCTTTAGACACAAGATGATTATATATCTTTCTAGTTTTATTTACATCAATACGACACAACTTCCTAGCATCCATCAGAC